CAGTTACACAGAGCAACACCGTGAAGATGCAGTGAAGATAAAGCACCAAAAAGTGCAAGAAGAAGAGAGAACACTTCCCACCTCATCCTATAATGCCAGGATTGCCATGACACCAAACCGAGCAAAGACATCACAAGAAAAGAAAACTACAGACCAATATCTTTTGTGAATATAGAGGCAGAATTGCTCGACTGAATACCAGCAAATCGAATCCAGCAACAGATAAAAAGGAGTAAGTGGGATTTACCTCAGGAATGCAAGATTGATTTAACATATGAAAATTAATCAATACCATATGCTATATTAACCGAATACTGGACAAAAATCACAGCCACAGAAAAAAACAGTCTACAAATCTGGAACAGAAGGGACCGCCCTCAAACTGATAAAGACCATCCATCACAAACCCTCGGCTACTACACTCAATGGTGAGAGACTGAAAGCTTTCCCTTTGATCAGGAACAACAGCAGGATGTCCTCTCTCACCACTTGTATTCAACATTTTACTGGAGGCTCTGGCCATGGCAATTAGGGGAGAACATGAAATCAAAGGAATCCAGATGGGAAAGGAAGAAGTAAAACTATCTCCAATCACAGATGACATGATCTTATGTAGAGAAAATCCTAAATATTCTGCACAAAAAAAAAATTAGAACTAATAAAAAAGTTCAGCAAAGGTGCAGGATACAAGATCAGTAAACAAAAATCAATTGTTATTCTATACACAAGCAATGAACTATCCAGAAATTAAATTAAGAAAACAATTCTGCCTACATAGCATCAAAAAGAATAAATTTATGTATAAATATATAACAAATTAAATGCAAGACTTGTACATGGAAATCTACTAAACATCATTGAAAAAAGTAAAAGAAGACCTAAATAAATGGAAAGACACCCCACATTCAAGGACCGGAAAACTTCATGTTGTCAAGATGACAATGCTCTCCAAACTGGTCTGCAGATTCAGTGCAATCCCTATCAAAACCCCAAGTGCCTAATTTGCAGAAATTATCAAGCTTATCCTAAAGTTCATATGGAGATGCAAGGGACCCAGAAGAGCCAAAACTATTTTGACAAGGAACACAGTCAGAGGACTTACATGTTATGATTTCTAAACTGACCACAAAGCTACAGGAATCAAGACAGTGTGTTACTGACATAAGGATAGACATACCGATCCATGGAATAGAATTGACAG